ATTTCTGCTCAGCTGCCCGGAGCTCTGTTCTGTGAGCTCGCAATGAGTCATCAAGCCACGGAGCTGGAGGGGAGGACCGAGCCGGCCGGGAGGATAGGGGACATAGAGAGTCAAAGGATGCAGAAAGGGAGGAGAGGAGGGTTGAGGAGGCAGAATCAGGAGATTGGAGGGAGAAGGATTGAGCAGAGGGAAGAGATGATAGGATGGAAGAGGAGAGAGTAGCGGGAGAGAGAGAGCGAAGGTTGCGGCGGCACATTACCATCTGTGTAGGGGCAGAGTGAGTAGTGTTGGAGGAGAGCGAGAGAGAAAAGGATACAAAGTAGTGGTCGGAGACATGGAGGGGAGTTGCAGTGAGATTAGTAGAAGAACAGCATCTAGTAAAGATGAGGTCAAGCGTATTGCCTGCCTTGTGAGTAGGGGGGGACGGTGAGAGGGTGAGGTCAAAAGAGGAGCGGAGTGGAAAGAAGGAGGCAGAGAAAAATGAGTCAAATGTAGACGTAGGGAGGTTGAAATCCCCCAGAACTGTGAGGGGTGAGCCATCCTCAGGAAAGGAACTTATCAAGGCGTCAAGCTCATTGATGAACTCTCCAAGGGAACCTGGAGGGCGATAGATGACAAGGATATTAAGCTTAAATGGGCTAGTGACTGTGACAGCATGGAATTCAAATGAGGAGATAGACAGATGGGTTAGGGGAAACATTTAGAATGTCCACTTGGGAGAGATGAGGATTCCTGTGCCACCACCCCGCTGACCAGATGCTCTCGGGGTATGCGAGAACACATGGTCAGACGAGGAGAGAGCAGTAGGAGTAGCAGTGTTTTCAGTGGTAATCCATGTTTCCGTCAGCGCCAAGAAGTCGAGGGACTGGAGGGTAGCATAGGCTGGGATGAACTCTGCCTTGTTGGCAGCAGAACGGCAGTTCCAGAGGCTGCCTGAGACCTGGAACTCCAGGTGGGTGGTGCGTGCAGGGACCACCAGGTTAGAGAGGCAGCAGCCACGCGGTGTGAGGCGTTTGTGTAGCCTGTGCGGAGAGGAGAGAACAGGGATAGGCAGAGGCATAGTTGACAGGCTGCAGCAAATGGCTACAATAATGCAGAGGAGATCGGAATGAAATGAACTAAACATCTGGGAAAGGAGAGAGCGGGGCCTCCCTCACCACAACTCCCAAATATAACTCTCCCAACTTCCACTTTAGAAATTATAATTGTTGTAAACTACAGCGGTTCAATGTTTCTAGGAATAGACTCTAACTTACTTTATTCAGCTAGCTAACTTGGTACAGTATTCTTCCATGAAAACCGCCCAGGGCACCGTATCCTATGACGCCATAGCTAACTAGCATGCTAGCATCCAATAACACACGGTTTAGCACCAATACTTGGTTACAACAAACTACCAATAGTGTGTTAACACACTAAACAGATAATTCGTGTCCGTGTCTAGTTCCTTTCATAACGCAGCAATAATTAAACGTTGGCTAGCTAGCACAAAGTCAGTCATGCTAGCTACACAAGTGGACTACACATCTCGAATGTTCATAAAGTGAAGCTTTATGTTGCAAAATTCTCATTGACTAAAATTATATTGTATTTACCTGCTACAGTACTGCTAGCTGGTAGTGTTGGCTAGCTAGCAATGGCTGCTGTGTTGACTTTGTTTGAAAAACGGCGTCGCTGCGAACAAATGTAGCTGGCTAAGATTATATTGTATTTAGTTGCTACAGTACTGCTAGCTGGTAGCGTTGGCTAGCTAGCAATGGCTGTGGTGTTGACTTTGTTTGAAAAACGGCGTCGCTGCGAAAGAATGTAGCTGGCTAAAAGGATATTGTATTTAGTTGCTACAGTACTGCTAGCTGGTAGTGTTGGCTAGCTAGCAATGGCTGCGGTGTTGACTTTGTTTGAAAAACGGCGTCGCTGCGAACGAATGTAGCTGGCTAGCTAACCTCGATAGTTTCTCTATACTACACCTTTATCTTTGATACAAATACAACTATGTAGCTAGCTAACATTACACTAATCAAATCGTTCCATTGTAATGTAATGTGTCATATTACCTGCGGAGCGAAGTACAGCATGACTACTCACCTCGCCTGCCGCTCACCATGAGTGTAGGTGGCAGCTGCAGAGAAGTACCTGGGTGTATGAGATATATTTATTATATTATTATATGTATATATAGTATTGCAGAAGAGTTATAAGATGTTTTGAGATGATTCTTTTTTTAAATAGTGGTATACAGTTGAAGACGGAAGTTTACATACACTTAGGTTGGAGTCATTAAAACTCGTTTTTCAACCACTCCACAAATGTCTTGTTAACAAACTATATAATATAATATAATAATATAATATAATAATATGCCATTTAGCAGATGCTTTTATCCAAAGCGACTTACAGTCATGCGTGCATACATTTTTACATATGGGTGGTCCCGGGGATCGAACCCACTACCCTGGCATTACAAGCGCCATGCTCTACCAATTGAGCTACAGAGGACCAAAACTATAGTTTTGGCAAGTCGGTTAGGACATCTACTTTGTGCATGACACAAGTAATTTTTCCAACAATTGTTTACAGACAGATTATTTCACTTATAATTCACTGTATCACAATTCCAGTGGGTCAGAAGTTTACATACACTAAGTTAACTGTGCCTTTAAATAGCTTGGGAAATTCCAGAAAATGATGTCATGGCTTTAGAAGCTTCTGAGAGGCTAATTGACATCATTTGAGTCAATTGGAGGTGTACCTGTGGATGTATTTCAAGGCCTACCTTCAAACTCAGTGCCTCTTTGCTTGACATCATGGGAAAATCAAAATAAATCAGCCAAGAGCTCAGAAAAAGAAATTGTAGACCTCCACAAGTCTGGTTCATCCTTGGGAGCAATTTCCAAACACCTGAAGGTACCACGTTCATCTGTACAAACAATAGTACGCAAGTATAAACACCATGGGACCACGCAGCCGTCATACCGCTCAGGAAGGAGACGCATTCTGTCTCCTAGAGATGAACGTACTCTGGTGCGAAAAGTGCAAATCAATCCCAGAACAACAGCAAAGGACCTTGTGAAGATGCTGGAGGAAACAGGTACAAAAGTATCTATATCCACAGTAAAACGAGTCCTATATCGACATAACCTGAAAGGCCGCTCAGCAAGGAAGAAGCCACTGCTCCAAAACCGCCATAAAAAAGCCAGACTATGGTTTGCAACTGCACATGGGGACAAAGATCGTACTTTTTGGAGAAATGTCCTCTGGTCTGATGAAACAAAAATATAACTGTTTGGCCATAATGACCATCGTTATGTTTGGAGGAAAAAGGGGGTTGCTTGCAAGCCAAAGAACACCATCCCAACCGTGAAGCACGGGGTGGCAGCATCATGCTGTGAGGGTGCTTTGCTGCAGGAGGGACTGGTGCACTTCAAAAAATAGATGGCATCATGAGGAAGCAAAGTTATGTAGATATATTGAAGCAACATCTCAAGACATCAGTCAGGAATTTAAAGCTTGGTCGCAAATGGGTCTTCCAAATGGACAATGACCCCAAGCATACTTCCAAAGTTGTGGCAAAATGGCTTAAGGATAACAAAGTCAAGGTATTGGAGTGGCCATCACAAAGCCCTGACCTCAATCCTATAGAAAATGTGTGGGCAGATCTGAAAAAGCGTGTGCAAGCAAGGAGGCCTACAAACCTGACTCAGTTACACCAGCTCTGTCAGGAGGAATGGGCCAGCTTGTGGAAGGTTACCCGAAACGTTTGACCCAAGTTAAACAATTTAAAGGCAATGCTACCAAATACTAATTGAGTGTATGTAAACTTTTGACCCATATGTGATGAAAGAATGTATTTGGCTAAGGTGTATGTAAACTTCCGACTTCAACTGTATAGGTGTAGGGTTGGTTGGTGGTGCAATGTTAATTTTTCCCCCCCTTTTTATATTTGCAATCATTTCTAAAAACCTGTTTTCGCTTCGCCATTATGGGGTATTGTGTGTAGATTGATGAGGACAAAAAAATATTTAATCCATTTTAGAATAAGGCTGTAACGTAATAAAATGTGGAAAAAGTCAAGGGGTCTGAATATCTTCCGAATGCACTCTATATAAACTATTACTAAATAATTATAATTCCAAGTCTACCCTAAGACACACACCGGTAAGACAAGGAGAATGGGCTACTGCCTGGGAAGCCCAGGGTTCAAGCTCAATTACTTTGTTTCTGTTCACACCTCCAATAGACTATGACTCTGTGCACCTGCCACATACATGCAAGCCCGAACATGCGGAAAGAATGGAGATATGCAGCCCCACAGTGATCATATGATTCCACTCTTGGAGAGATGACAGTATGAGGAAGCCGTCCACACCCCATCTTTTTACGACCTTATCCATGAATAGGTTGGTAATGGGTAATGCAAATTGGGTTACATACTTGTCACGTCTATGTTTTTAAGACAATAATTGACTATAATTGATATTCATCCTCATTAACCCATATGAACTTTAGATGGGATAATTACATGGGCAAATAACCAAGCTGTGGACACTAAAAAAAAGACAGAAACAACATGTAAGGTCACAGCAGTGCACTTGGCACCTCAGACCCACTGGTCAGGACCCATATGACCTTTGAAGTGATGTTAAAAAGTTGTTCTCTAGTGAAAGGATTGGTAGTAAAAGGTTCACGTTCACAGTTCATTCACCTCATGATGCTCCACTATTGTAATTGAGGAGTACATTATTCTGCTTTGTAGGTTACAGTAAACATTCCAGTGTAATAACAGTCATTGTACAAGACTCATTCAACTCTCTATTTTTACCACTGTAATCTCTTCACGGAACCATGATAGATTTTTGCAGGGACGGTCAGCCTTCGGAATGGGGAGGTTCTAAATTCCTTACCGCTGGTGCGTCTTGCCCTGGAGGTGGAAACTGGGAAGGGCTGGATGAGATAGCTCAGGTATAAAAGCACCACCATCCCATTCCAACAAAGTGTGTGAACAGTTTCCAGTGTTGAGTGAAGGTAAAGACAGTTACAGGCCGTCATCATGAGTCGCAGCCCAGAAAGGATGTCTTCCTACCGCCGCCACTTCGAGGGCACCCTCGCCTCCTCCTCTGCTTCCTATCAGGTGCGGGTTTCGAGCCCTTCACCGACCCGAAGGGATGTCCGTCACCGCTCTGCCAGCTACAGTCGCAGCGGGGGAACCATGGGGAGGAGGAACCTCTCCAGCAACCGCAAGCCCCGCATGACCAGGTAATACAACTATTTTGATGTTTTATTTAGGATAGGACCATTCTAGGCTACAGTTGAGGTTTTAATGTCATATCAGCGTTAACTATCCATTTGTTCTTTCACTGGAATACTGCTTCATTTATAATTGTAGGCTTGGCCTAATAATCACTGAATTCATTCTTAATGGGACACTCATTTCTTGATAAAATATATTTAACTTTGAGTATCAGACCTATTCTGATGCTTTCATTACCTCAACATCCAGATTAAAAGTGTTATAAAGTCAAATATAGTGGATGGTTGATGGCTGGCCTTGTCCCCTCCTGTCCTTACCACAGCAGTGTGAGTATGGGGGCCCTATGCTTCGGCATGAACATGGGGCTGGGGCCCAGCCTGGACCTGGATGCAGCTGCAGCGGAGAACCAAGAATTTATGAGCACCCGCACCGGCGAGAGGCAGGAGATGGTGGCCCTCAACGACCGCCTGGCTATCTACATCGAGAAGGCAAGACCACACCTCATCTCACACGTTCTGTCACTCATACTCTCCTCTGTCTCACTAAACTATATGCCACACTCAGTCACATGCAAACCTATGTTTATCTGCACTCTCTCTCACTCACAAACCCATGTTCTGTCCCAGGTACGTACTCTGGAGGGGCAGAACAAGCTGCTGGAGGCTGAGATTGATGCTCTGCAGAACCGCTATGTGAAGCCGTCTGGGCTGAGACAGCTCTACGAGGGCCAGCTGAGACAGCTCCACCGGATCGCTGAGCAGATGAGAGTGCAGAGGGTGAGCCACCTATAGCCTATGCATGATATTTACTTTTACAATGGTGGACTGGGATGAGACAGACAGGTATTGGGTTTGACTGTTTCCTCCACCCTAAGGACCTGGCTGTAGCGGCCAAGGGGGCCATGGCAGGACAGGTGGAGGTGCTCAAGGTCAAATATGAGGAGGCTCTGGAGGCCAGGAAGAAGGCAGAGTTGGAGATCGAAGCCTTCCGCCCCGTGAGTCAAACACAGATGCAGACATAACCATTAAACAATATCAACATGAACTCAAATTGTACACACACATAATCACCTACCTCATTTACCAGGCTGTCAATGTACTCTCTTCCCAGTTATTCCTGTGTACAAACTCAATAATAAATTCATCCTCTAACCTTCCTCTCTGGCAGGATGTGGATAGAGCCACCTCGGCCCGTATCGGCCTGGAGAAGCAGCTGGAGAACCTGGAGGTGGAGCTGGCCTTCCTGACCAGAGTTCACAAAGAGGTAACACGTCTGGGTCTATATCTGTGTCTACGTCTGTCTAGTGTCTTTCACTGTCTTGATTCACAGAGGGGCAACATACCACTGTCTGTCATATATCTATTTTCACATTGAGGCAGTCCATTTCTTTCTGTATCTGTTCACAAAGGTGGACTGTAACATACTGTATTTTACATACTGTATGTGTCTATAGCAGCATCTGTTTGGTATGACTTGTGGTCATCACAGGCATGCAGTTGAATTCACACAACTGCTGGAATGACCTGCTAATTACTTTTTTATGACAGTATATGAGTTAAAGTGGGAGAGGTTGGATCATGGGCTAGTGATTGAGAGTTTTCTGATGCAAACTTTATCGACTAACTGTGAAAACTGTGAAATTCACAGAAGGAATGAGTAGGCTCCCATTTTGTTTGCCCCTGTCAGGAAATTGAGGAGCTGATGCAGCAGATCTACGTGGCGGTGGCCAAGGTGGACATTACCTTTGCCCTCCCTGACCTCTCCTCCGCCCTCAAACAAATCCAGTCCCAGTACGACAGCATCGCCGCCAGAAACCTACAGGTACCAATTGCAGATAATACTCGATTTATTACACATAACTTCATATGTGATTACATAATTACACAGAAAACTGAATCCATTTTGTTTCTGTTGTTCCTCAGGAGATGGACGCTTGGTACAAGTCAAAGTTCCAGGACCTGAACGATGTGACAACCAAACACGTTCAAAGCGTTCGAAGTGTGAGAGAAGAAATCGCAAGTTACAAGAGAGATGTAAGTGGGACCCTCTTTTCTCATCATCGTTAATACTGTTATTGACACCACCAATCAACAGATTGAAAACACGGGTGTGTTAAGGTAGAATTAAGGTTAGGGTTAGGGTAAGGGTTAGGTTTAGGGGTTAGGGAAAATAGTACTTTGAATGGTTATAATTGTGTGTCCCCACAAGGTTAGTTAAACAAGACTATGTGTGTTTGTCTCTGTGTGTAGAGCTTAAACCTGGTGCGTGAGTTGGAGTCCATGAAGACGAGGAATGAATCTCTGAAGGTTCAGATTCGTGACGCTGTGGAGAGACACAAGAAAGAACAGGAGACACTGCTGGTGAGTAGTACTACTCTCACTACACACCTTTACTGTAGAAAGAAGCATGGGAGGTCAGAATGGATATTTGCTCTACAAAGTGGGCAATAAGTGAGAGTTCTTTAAAATTGACTCTAACAGCCGGTCACAATTGGCTCCCTATGACCTAAAAGCTTGTGTGTGTTTCCCACAGGAGCGTATTGAGGGGCTGAAGCTGGAGCTGAAGGTGATGAAGGAGAAGATAGCTTTGCTGCTGAGGGAGTACCAGGAGCTGCTCAACGTCAAGATGGCCCTGGAGATTGAGATCACCACCTACAGGTGACAATCATAACTCCCCTATAGTCTAAACAGGCCTTTTCTGCTCCTCATTTCCCCCACTTGAAGAGAAAAGAACTGGACAGGTCAAAGCAGATTGCGCCAAGTATTGCTTTCAGCTATCCTGGGTTTGTCAGATCTGTGTGGGAGGCAAGGAAAGGCAGCAACGCAACTATTTTGATATGCAGCCTACTTTATGTTTGCTAAGTGTAAATCTGTGACTTCTACGTGTCGTCTCTGTGGTTGTGTATTTGGCAGGGCGCTGATCGAGGGCGAGGACACCCGTCTCAGCACCATGGTACAGAGCATGTCCCTGGGTGGAGGAGGAAGAAGCGGAGTGGCCATCAGCGCTAGCTCCACCTCTGCCTCGGTTAGCGCCGCCTCTGTCAGCGGATACGGGTATGGGGCCGGGCTGGGCAGAACTCCTGCTAATGGAAATGGGGGCACCAAAGAGGCCCCTGATGTGGCAGTGATATCACCAGAGAGCCAGACGGAGAGCTACGAGGAACAGTCAGTGGAGATGACTGAGCGGAAGACTCTTCTCATCAGGTAGAGCAAGCCTTGGTCACAATTTAAACCATACTGGGAGATAATCTTACCTATAATCTGTCGATAAAATATGGCCTACCAGTAGTCTGTTTTGTCATCTGAATATGTGACGGAGGACATTTTTGTATTTACATATATTTGTATACAATATTATATTTGTCACCCAGTGTTGTTTTCAAACCCCTTTTTCCCCTGCCCTTTCCCATTTTCTCTCAGAACAGTTAAGACAGATGACATGTATGAGAGCGACACACAGGAATGCACCATTACCATCTCTGGAGCTGCTGACGACACAGACGAGGACTAGAGATGGAAGTCCAGGCTCCTAACTCCTACACCACCGTATGAATGTTAGAGCCCTTCCACCATTGCCCCCCAAAAATGTAGCCCACACCAACCCCCTAGGATAGTGGTCTTCAGGATCAGGACCCCTATGGTCCTCTTCTGTGTGTGTCTCTGTCTCTGCCTGCACTAATCTCTGTCTTAGCCTCACATTGCCTTTCTGTTAGCCTTTAACTCCCTGTGTGTGTCTGAGAACCATATCGCTCTACAAGCAACAAATTAAAAAACAAAACAGCAAAGCAATTACAATATTTTCTCTTGATGTGGTAATTTCCAAACATATTTAGGTAAAAAATAAATATAGAATAAGTTTGATGTCAGTTTCCTATTTTTACTCCTGGTGTTCAACAATTACATAGCAGCACAGTCTTTCTAGTTGAGGTCCGTTCAAAGCAGTGCAATTACTCCGCTATAAACAGTAATGCAAAAATTGATCTACAATAACTGCTAATGTAAAACATTTACATAATTACATGGGAATAATACAAAACCACTACATTGACAGAGGATTAAGGTTGGGTAAAAAAGGGGATTACAAGTTTAACCTTATTTAGCATATTTTCCCTTCATTGTCCAATACAGTGATTCCCTTTCCTTCACGGACTGAAATTGTTCAGACTCAGAAAAGTAATACTACAGTATTAAATGCAGTATACAGTATAAAATGATTTGGCACCTGATAAAGACTACAAACGATGTACAATCATGGCTGGAGGAAGTTATGTAACCTTTAGATGCACGTAAAAATAAAAGGACAGAATTGTTCGATAGACATTGCATAATGTGTGTGTTTATAAAGGATAGGACTCCTCTGCCACTACTCCAGCGAGGCGGTACACTACCAGGCTAACTTCATGTGCCAGGGCATCAGCACTCTCCTGAAACACACAAATACATCACCATCATCAGACAGTGAGCGACAGAAAAATAATGCGTAAAGAAAGGTAAAGACATAGCAAGTGAACAAGAAAGGTGAATTGAGTGAATCACTATCACTCCATGTGATAGTAGGTCTGAGTGTCAGCATTCAGTCCCACCTGTGTGTCTGCCTCAGCGTACACTCGGACCACATCCTCAGTGCCCGAGGGACGGACAAAGGAGCGTGCCTGTCTGTACTTATTCACTAGGCTGTCTATGGCCTCCTGCAGACCTGCTGGACTCACTGTTCTCCTCTCTGCATCTGTAGTGTCAATCACTCGCCGGTCTGCCACCTACAGGCCACACAACAACACTGCAACTGAGGCACCAGGATAAACTGTGTTAAAACATATGTATTAGATTTCTTTATTATACAGGCATTTAAAGTAACATATGATGCAACTCCCTGAGTGCACACAGGCACCCACCCACACACACACACCTTCACTTTGAGCTGTCTGTTGGGCAGGTCTGTGTAAATTGCGTCCCATTGTTGTAATGTCATCCCTCTGATGGCTAACACAGCCTCAATCAGAAGCATGTCAGAGACAGCATCTCCTACTGTCTACACACACAGCGAGAGACAGACAGAGAGAGAGACAGAGATATATAAAATGTCAGTTATGCACACAGGATTGGACCCGTCATTGCAATGAACATGTGTAGTCACTATTGCTAAAATGGTTGATTGTGTTGCCATGTCCATGTGTGGTCATGCCTGGTTGATGAGGTTGACCGTGTTCTGCAGTAGCAGTGCAGCTCTCTTCCTCTCGTCGTTGGTGTTGGAGTCCTGGGCTAGCTGCTGGATCTTCTCTTCTGCTGCTTTACTGAACAGGACCTGAGATGGGACCGCAACACAACCACAACATGACCGTAATCATACAGACAGGCCGTCATTGAGTGGGTACATTCAAGCAATATACCCGTCAGAGATTAGTGTGTGAGCATGTTTCCGACTCACAGTTCCATGGCCGTTGGCCTCGAAGTAAACACCAATGTCAAACTCCTGGGCTGCATGGTGACGGTGTTTAACTCCTGTCTTGGTACACCTCACTAACACCTGGAGAGAGGAGAGGTCAGCACTGATAGTATTGTGAGTTGGAAAGACTAAGCTGTGTGTGTCCTCACCTTCAATTAAAAGTGCTTGCAAATGAGTAAACATGCTTTATAAAACAATATGTATGATTATAACTACTCACCAATTTTTGTAATACTATTTTTTTTATAGAATATGTTCACTATTTATAAAGAGTTTAGTCATGCTTATTCATGAAGGTTATTAAAGTGTTACAGGCAGACAGAGAGATTATGTAGTCTTGCGTTCTTAGTGAGCTGGATGAAAGCCTGGGAGAGTTTCTGGTAATAACCCTTGACCGTGGCTTTCACCATAGCGACCCTGGGTGTTCTGACATCACACCATGTAGTGCAGCTGGGGTGTGGTCACCAAGCCATAATCTGATAGACAGGAAGAGTCACCAATAAGTGATTTCCAAACAAGAAGAAGAACCAACAATCAATCACATACCAAGGTGTAGTTGAACCTAAGAGTTAATGCACCTTTAATGTGGCTTTCCAGGGCTTGGACTCCATCCAGTACTGCCTGTGATTGGCTCTCACTGCTGGGCCTGAAGTAACACAACCAATGAGATTAAATATCTGAGATAACCTTGGTTGAGTTATTTTTGCATCACCAGGTCCCCCGGGTGGGCTGAGTTTAAGTATTTTAGATCATTCCATTGGTCCTAAAGTGACATTTCCACCCACCCGGGACAATGGGCGATGCAAAATTAACTTTCCCCCTGTCATATTGCTAACCCTTGATATTCAAGATTATAGTTTAGTTTCTAGACTAGAGAATGTTAATACCCCAGTACCTGGTATCTTTGCCCACAAACACGCTGGCCTCCTGGACGTCCTTCAGGACGGTGAGGAGCCACTCCTGCTCCGTGTTGGCCAGCTGGGTGGCATTGCCCTCTCACGCAGGGGTCACCATCTCCCCCATGGGGTCCACCAGCTTCACCCCGTTATCCTCCTGGAGAGGGGGGATGGGGGGATATAGTGGATGGGAAGGGAGATGTGGAGAGAAGGAAGGAAGGGGTATGAGAGGAATAGGAAGGGGTGGTTGTAGTATAGTGTGGATAGTAGGGGTGAGGTAGATGGAGAGAGGGAGGAGGGGAGAGATAAAGATGGAGATTGGGATATTGTGTAAATCAGAAAAGCAATACTTTCCATGAAAGCAAATCAATTCTAGACAACCTTTTTCTAATAATATCAGAGAATCCGCAGCAGCTTGATTTGTGGCCCTCAGAGCAGACCAGAATAGAACACCAGGGACTATAAATCAAAGATAGACCCTGAAGGGTCGTTCCACCTCAAAAAGCACAAGAAAGAGGGTTTTGACACCCACCATCTCAGATTGTTCTGAAATGGTTTCTGTTGTTAAAAACGTAATGTTAGCATTCCTGCAACATTATTTGGTTGAAATATAATTTGATCTGAGAAATTAAGCACCCAAATTGGCAATTTTTTATTTATAAGATTAATATAATATTCAATAAATATAGTACCTAACATCCAATTTGGACCAAGCATGGGTTGCTGTCATACCTTGTCCATAAACTGCTGACAGGGTAAGGAAACCAATATGTCATTTTGTAATTTGGGTGAACTCTCTTCAACATTGAGGGGGGATTATTATATTTATTTTTTAAATCACCTAATAGCAGGAACAACACCATCTAGTGGTCAGAACCTGGTAATATCAGGTTGTAGGATTGGACATAAACCTAACAGCTTCAATGACTAATTTCTCTGAACAGGGGGAAAAAAAACATCACCAAATTCAATGAGAATATATTACATAGTATGAATAAACAATAGTCCGAGCCGCAGCTCCATGATACTTGTCAGACCTAGAGAACTGATACAGAATACTCGTTGTTGGGATGGGATTGGTGTACCATTTCTTTGGATTCTTCATGTTTTACTCATTGTTAGAAAAGAGTTTGATCCAAATCAGATGTTAGGTACTACATTTATTGAATATTATATGAACCAATTTGGGTGCAATCAATTACCTTGATTTCTCATAGATCAAATTATATTTCAACAAAATAATGTTGCAGGAATGCTAATCTTAACTGTTTCTAACTAAATAAACGATTTCAGAACAATCTGAGATGGTGGGTGTCATGGCTTGCTTGAAATGACATGGAACGACCCTGAAGCCATATAGACACAGTGAAGGGTAGTAAAGGAAGCAAGTGTTATGTTTTGCTACCCTCAGGGTTGTGTGACGCAGTGACCATGACTCTGATGGTGGCCTTAGTCTTCTTGGAGCGGAGTGTGGCCAGTAAACCCATTCAGAACATGACGTGGTCTAGCTGCTTAGAGTTGGTGCGGAACCCAGCAGTACCATACAGTAGGACCAACCCTACAGGTTTAGGGTGGACAGCAGACATCTGGGATACTTCCTCAAACTGGGCCATTCCTGAAAACACAAAACAGAAAAACAAAGGGGATGTCTCAATAATCTCTTCAGCTCCTCTCCTTCATAATAATAATAATAATAATATGCCATTTAGCAGACGCTTTTATCCAAAGCGACTTACAGTCATAACATGTAACCTATATTATTCAGGCTAAACATTTTTAAATACCCCAAATAATAATAATGATGTAATAATGATATACTTATTTTGCACAGTTTACAATAATAATGATAGCATAAACCTTTCTAAACAGTATGACAATATTTTATCTGTAAATTTAATGAGGGCACTGAGAAAACATGTCCACGCATTCGTCGTAAATCCACTATAAAGAAGCCTAGGTCATACTCTAAGGGGCAAAGTTAATTTAAAATGTGCTTCAACAAAGTACTGAGTAAAGGGTCTGAACACTTACGTAAATGTGATATTTCGGTTTTGTAAAAATGTATAAAAACCATGTTTTTGCTTTGTCATTATGGGGTATTGTGTGTATGACTATCATTTGTTTTTCAACAGGACAATGACTCAAAATAATTTGAAGAATCTCAAATATAAAATATATTTTTTAGGTTACTACATGATTCCATATGTGTTATTTCATAGTTTTGATGTCTTCACTATTATTCTACAATGTAGAAAATAGTAAAAATAAAGAAAAACCCTTGAATGAGTAGGTGTTCTAAACCTTGACCGGTAGTGTATATTTATTGCTTGTCCTAATATTTCTATATTTCTTAATTCCATTCTTTTACTTTTAGATTCATGTGTATTGTTAGATATTACTGCACTGTTGGAGCTAGGAACACAAGCATTTCGCTACACCCGCAATAACATCTGCTAAATATGTGTATGCAACCAATACAATTTGATTTGATTTACACGTGTTCACGCATACTGTTTTGTGTGTGAGTCAGATGTGCATGCACACAGGATGTGTGTGTACATTGACATGCAAAAGTATTCACCCCCCTTGGCATTTTTCCTATTTTGTTGATTTTTGGGGGTTTGTATCATTTGATTTACACAACATGCCTACCACTTTCAAGATGCAAAATATTATTTTTTGTGAAACAGTCAAAGTCAATACTTTGTAAAGCCACCTTTTGCAGCAATTACAGCTGCAAGTCTCTTGGGGTATGTCTCTATAAGCTTGGCACATCTAGCCACTGGGATGTTTGCCCATTCTTCAAGGCAAAACTGCTCCAGCTCCTTCAAGTTGGATGGGTTCCACTGGTGTACAGCAATATTTAAGTCATACCACATATTCTCAATTGGATTGAGGTCTGGGCTTTGACTAGGCCATTCCAAGACATTTAAATGTTTCCACTTAAACCACTCAAGTGTTGCTTTAGCAGCATGCTTAGGGTTCTTGTCCTGCTGGAAGGTGAACCTCCGTCCCAGTCTCAAATCTCTGGAAGACTGAAACAGGTTTCCCTCAAGAATTTCCCTGTATTTAGCGCCATCCATCATTCCTTCAATTCTGACCAGTTTCCCAGTCCCTGCCGATGAAAAACATCCCCACAGCATGATGCTGCCACCACCATGCTTCACTGTGGGGATGGTGTTCTCTGAGTTATGAGAGGTGTTGGGTTTACGCCAGACATAGCGTTTTCCTTGATGGCCAAAAAGCTCAATTTTAGTCTCATCTGACCAGAGTACCTTCTTCCATATGTATGGGGAGTCTCCCACATGCCTTTTGGCGAACACCAAACGTGTTTGCTTATTTTTTTTTCTTTAAGCAATGGCTTTTTTTCTGGCCACTCTTCCGTAAAGACAGCTCTGTGGAGTGTATAGCTTAAATTGGTCCTATGGACAGATACTCCAATCTCCGCTGTGGAGCTTTGCAGCTCCTTCAGGGTTATCTTTGGTCTCTTTGTTGCCTCTCTGATTAATGCCCTCCTTGCCTGTTCCGTGAGTTTTGGTGGGCGGCCCTCTCTTGGCAGGTTTGTTGTGGTGCCATATTCTTTCAATTTTTTAATAATGGATTTAATGTGCTCTGTGGGATGTTCAAAGTTTCTGATATTTTTTTATAACCCAACCCTGATCTGTACTTCTCCACAACTTTGTCCCTGACCTGTTTGGAGAGCTCCTTGGTCTTCATATTGCCGCTTGCTTGGTGGTGCCTCTTGCTTAGTCCTGTTGCAGACTCTGGGGCCTTTCAGGACAGGTGCATATATACTGAGATCATGTGACAGATCATGTGACACTTATATTGCACACAGGTGGACTTCATTTAACTAATTATAACACTTCTGAAGGTAATTGGTTGCACCAGATCATATTTTGGGACTTCATAGCAAAGGGGGTGAATACATATGCACTCACCACTTTTCCGTTATTTATTTTTTTAAATTTTCTGAAACAAGTTATTTTTTTCATTTCACTTCACCAAGTTGGACTATTTTGTGTAAGTCCATTACATGAAATCCATTTAAATTACAGGTTGTAATGCAACAAAATAGGGAAAAAAACGCCAAGGGGGATGAATACTTTTGCAAGGCACTGTATCTAACGTTAGCTAGCTAAATCAACTCATGCAGAAACATGATTGAGCTCCTTCCTCTCTATTGACAGACTGATATCGCAACATGCGTGCAAGGTCATTTAGTTCTTACAAGAGAAATAGAATACAGGCTATTAATTTCGAAATATTTACTAAACGTATAAATAGTTTAATTTACTTGCAGTTGTAGGACTGAATTGAAAGCCTCCCGATTCTACTGGCGACGTGGCTGCAGATCGGTGTACGTTACTTTACCACGCCCTTTAACTGTCATGTAACAATAATCTGAGCACATGGTAGGCTGGGCAGATTACACATTATGTTTTTATGCATTTATTCAGTGGCCTACAGTTTTAGAGGACTATTTCCCCCCCAAGGACAATTAGCGGGCTAAAGGCTTTACTCAATGTTTTTTCTGACTCAAGACAATTCAAGTTACATATCGATTTAATCATCAGGCCTATAATAACGTGCCTAGAATAAATTGGCCTTTATAAAATGCAGTTCTTGCCTATTATACACTACATTAACAAAAGTATGTGGACACCTGCTCGTCGAACATCTCATTCCAAAATCATGGGCGTTAATATGGAGTTGGTCCACCCTTTGCTGCTATAACAGCCTCCACTCTTCTAGGAAGGCTTTCCACTAGATGTTGGAACATTGCTGCGGGGACTTGCTTCCATTCAGCCACAAGAGCATTAGTGAGGTCGGGCACTGATGTTGGGCATTTAGGCCTGGCTCGCATTCGGCGTTCCAATTCATTCCAAAGGTGTTAGATGGGGTTGAGGTCAGGGCTCTGTGCAGGCCAGTCAAATTCTTCCACACCGATCTCAACTAACCATTTCTGTATGGCCCTCGCTTTGTACACGGAGGCATTGCCATGCTGAAACAGGAAAGGGCCTTCCCCAAACTGTTGCCACAAAGTTGGAAGCACAGAATCATCTAGAATGTAATTGTATGCTGTAGCGTTTAGATTTCTCTTCACTGGAAATAAGGGGCCTAGCCCGAACCATGAAAAACAGCCCCAGACCATTATTCCTCCTCCATCAAACTTTACAGTTGGCACTATGCATTGGGACAGGTAGAGTTCTCCTGGCATCCGACAAACCCAGATTCGTCCATCGGACTGCCAGATGGTGAAGCGTGATTTATCACTCCAGAGAATGCGTTTCCACTGCTCCAGAGTCCAATGGCGGCAAGCTTTACATCACTCCAGCCCATACTTGGCATTGTGCATGGTGATCTTAGGCTTGTGTACGGCTGCTCGGCCATGGAAACCCATTTCATGAAGCTTCTGACTAACAGTTATTGTGTTGACTTTGCTTCCAGAGGCAGTTTGGAACTTGGTAGTGAGTGTTGCCACCGAGGACAGACAATTTATAAACGCTACGCGCTTCAGCACTCGGCGGAACGGAGTAAATGGAGTGGCATCAAACACATAGAAACCATGTGTTTGATGCATTTGATACATTTTACATTTACATTTTAGTCTTATCCAGAGCGACTTACAGTTAGTGAGTGCATACATTATATTTTTATATTTTTTCCCACAACACTGCCGTTGCAAACGCCATGCTCTACCAACATCCCTGCTGGCCATTCCCTCCCCTACCCTGGACGACGCTGGGCCAATTGTGCACCGCCCCATGGGTCTCCCGGTCGCCGATTACCACGAACCCGTCCTCCCCAATTAAGGTGCCACCATCCTCTTGGTGGCCTACCACTTCGTGGCTGAGCCGTTGTTGCTCCTAGAGGTTTCCACAATAACAGCACTTACAGTTGACCGGGGTAGCTCTAGCAGGGCAGAAAATTGACGAACTGACTTGTTGGAAAGGTGGCATCCTATGACAGTGCCATATTGAAAGTCACTGAGCTCTTCAGTAAGGCCATTCTACTGCCAATGTTTGTCTATGAGATTGCATGGCTGTGTGCTCGATTTTATACACCTGTCAGCAAAATCCACTAATTTGAAGAGGTGTCCACATACTTTTATATAAATAGTGTATCTCTCCCCGTATAGCTTTGCACAACAAATGACAGATAATGCTACTTTATTTATAAGGGGTCTTTAGGCCAAGGTTATTAGTAAACGAAAACGAATCATGAAAAAACAATTTAGTAAACTGAAATAAAATAATTAACAAACCCGTTTGAAAAACTAAAACTATATTGAAACTATTATTTTTGACTCCAAAGATTTACTAAATTAAAAACCAAAACTAACATGAATTATGTTTAAATGTAGTGTAGGGGGGGGGGGGGGAATCAGCTAAGTAGCTAACTTGATTCTTTTTACATGTACTACTAAAGTTAAAAAGCCTTCGATTGGTGTAAACATGGGCGAGAGAGTTTCCTTCCACCATAT